GAGCACAGTGTCTCGTTTGTAAAATTTCAGGCCCCAAGCCAATCTTACTGAATTAAAATCCTATTTTCAAAGAAGATGCTCAGGTGATTCATCTGCATACTCAAGTTTTATAAGTGCTACCTTTGTGGGGAATTATCAATTATCATTCAAGGCTACTAAGTTCTTCCTGGAAGGAAATCAACAGAAGTTTATATATTTTTATATAGTTTATATATTTTTATGTAGACATTACAGCAAATCTTCTCTAGAATGGGTGTACCTTAAGAGGTTCTTTATATGTGGAATCTAAAAAGAAATGATATAAATGAATTTCCAAAACAGAAAGAGACTCACAGATTTAGAGAATGAACTTAAGGTTGCAGTGGGCAAAAGGTGGGGGAGAAGGGGAGTTTGGGATGGACAGGTACACTTTGCTGTGTTTAAAATGGATAACCAACAAGGACCCACTGTGTAGCACGTGGAACTCAGCTCACGTCATGCGGCAGTCTGGATGGGAGGGGCATCTGGGGAGAATGGACACATGTATATACTGGGGAGAATGGACACATGTATATATGGGGGAGAATGGATACATGTATATACCTGGGGAGAATGGATACATGTATATAAGGGGGAGAATGGATGCATGTATATACTGGGGAGAATGGATGCATGTATATACCGGGGAGAATGGATGCATGTATATACCGGGGAGAATGGATACATGTATATACGGGGGAGAATGGATGCATGTATATACCGGGGAGAATGGATACATGTATATACGGGGGAGAATGGATGCATGTATATACCTACCGGCGAGAATGGATACATGTATATACAGGGGAGAATGGATACATGTATATACGGGGAGAATGGATGCATGTATATACAGGGGAGAATGGATACATGTATGTGGGGGGGGGGATGGATACATGTATATACGGGCAAGAATGGATACATGTATATACGGGGGAGAATGGATGCATGTATATACCGGGGAGAATGGATACATGTATATACCGGGGAGAATGGATACATGTATAAACGTGTGGCTGGGCTTCTCTGGTGGCCCAGATGCTATCCACCTGCAATGCAGGAGACCCAGGCTCAATCCCCAGGTTGGGAAGAAACCCTGGAGAAGGAAATGGTTACCCATTCCAGCATTTTGCCTGGAGAATTCCATAGACAAAGGAGCCTGATGAGCTGTAGTCCACTGGTCAGACACCGCTGAGCGACTAACACTTTCACTTTGTCACTTTCATAAGTATGACTGAGTCCCTCCGCCATTCACCTGAAGCTATCACAACATTGTTAGTTGGCTCCATCCCAAAATAAAATACACAGTTTTTTTCTAAAAAAATGAGGGCTGTATTTGATTCTTTTTGTGCATGAAACAAGTGAAAGTGAAGGTTGCTCAATCATGTACGACTCTTTGCAACCCCATGTACTATACAATCCATGGAATTCTCCAGGCCAGAATACTGGAGTGGGTAGCCTATCCCTTCTCCAGATCTTCCTGACCCAGGAATCGAACTGGGGTCTCCTGCATTGCAGGCAAATTGTTTACCAACTGAGCTACTTTTTTGTGCATGCTCAGCATCTAATATAATGCTTGGCTCACATTTGGTTCTGTGAGAATGAATGAACAAATGCTCTTAAAATAAAAATAGAGCAGCCAAGGGATTTCCTTGGTGATCCAGTGGTTATGACTCCATGCTTCCACTACAGGGGGTGCAGGTTCAACCCCTGGTCAGGGAACTAAGATTCCACACTCTTTGAAGTGTGGTCAAAAAAAAAAAAAATAGAGCAGTCAAGTCAGTGATGTTACAGCATTTGTTAAAAAGGTTAGGATGGTTGGTTTAATGGACAAGTATCGATACAAGGCCATTCCATGGGCATATGTGAAAAGCACAATGTGTGCAAATGAGGCATTTTTGCTCAAATGCATAATGGAAACAGACTGTTATTTAATTAATTACAAAGGAAGCACACAAGTTTTGAGCATCACTCTGCTTCACCTGATAATTTGAAAACCACATCATTTAAAGAGCAGTTATGACACTAGGATGCATAAATATTTTCATCATGCCAAGTTATATTGTTGGTTCATAATCTTGGTCAAATTTTACTAGAATTCTGTGTTATTTGACAAAGGAAAATCTAGAATGTAAAATGGGTTAGAGACAAAAGTCAGTGCAGGAGAAACCTGGTTCTCTGTGACAACCGAAAGGGAGGGGATGGGATGGGAGGTAGAACGGAGGTTCAAGAGGGAACGGACATATGGATACTTACAGCTGATTCATCTTGACGTATGGCAGAAACTAACAGTATTTTAAAGCAATTATCCTCCAGTGTAGAAAAAAAAAAAGATACACACACACAAAATCACTCTAGGAAATTAAGAGACTTAGCTAACAGTCCAGAGAATGCTAGAAGTTATTTTAAAACATTTGTTAAGCCTGACACCTGCAGTATAGTCCTATCTATCTGCAGTAGGTTAAGTGTCACGGGTTAGGGGCGCGGTCCCCACAAGACTGCCCTTGCTTCAGAACCAGCAGCAAGCCCTGAGGATCCCAGGCTACCAACCGGTAATAAATTTGGGGTGTTCACACTTCCCCCTTAGGTTCCATACTTTGCTAGAACGACTCACAGAATTCAGGGAAGCACCATATATCCCACTGCAGTTTTATCATATCTGCTGTTTTGTGCTCAGTCGTGTCCGACCCTTTGTGACCGCATGGCTTGTAGCCCGCCAGGCTCCTCTGTCCATGGGATTCTCCAGGTAAGAATACTGCAGTGAGCAGCCATGCACTCTTCCAGGGGAATCTTCCCAGCCCAGGGATTGAATCTGAGTCTCTTGTGTCTCCTGCATTGGCAGGTGGATTCTTTACCACTAGCACCACTTAATCATAAAGGGTGCACATCAGGAACAGACAAAAGAAGAGACCCGTGGAGTGAGGTCTGGAGGATTACAAACACTAAGCTTCGGTGTCTACAGGAGCATCACCCTCCTGGCACATCCACGGGTACCTGCAGCCAGGAAGCAATCCCAAGCCTCAGTGTCTACAGGAGCATCACCCTCCTGGCACATCCACGGGTACCTGCAGCCAGGAAGCAATCCCAAGCCTCAGTGTCTACAGGAGCATCACCCTCCTGGCACATCCACGGGTACCTCCAGCCAGGAAGCAATCCCAAGCCTCAGTGTCTAGGGGTTCTACTGGGTCTCATTACATAGCCACGATTCGTTGAATCACTGATCATACGATTGAACTCAATCTCCAAACCTCTTACCTTCCACAAAGATTGAGCTGATGTCCTGAGGCTCAAAACCCCGAACTGTAGAGTCACATGGTTAGTCTTTCCAGCACCACCAGCCTCCACCCTGGAAGCACCGAGACTGGACCTCCAGGGAATTCTCTGGGAATTCCCATAGTTAAATTCCCTTATTGTTACTTTTTGGTAGCAAGGCTACATGATATAATATCTGAAAGATCATATTTTAAATCTGGCACAACGTACACATTCAAATGTTGCTTTCCTTTCCTATAGAAATTAGTATGTATTTTTACACTACTCCTCCTCCATGGATACAATGAGATAAAGTTTCTCTCTTGCTGATGGCAGGTCAAAAAAGATGGGGAGTACAGTGTTAGCCTGACAAACTTGACTTTTAAATAAAATGCTAAATTGTTTAAAATTGGGGGTAGAGTGGGTGGGATGGGGAGTTTGTAATAGGCAATTAAAAAAATTAGAGAAGTATGGGGATAAAAGGATGCCTTGATAAGTTAAAACTGTAATATTTTATCGAGGATTTAGAATTTTTTATTTTAAAGCACAAAGCCTTATTGTCTTAGAATTTAAGGCAGTAGTATAAAAAGGAACAAATTAACCTTTCCCTTTAAAATATGAAAAGTTTCGAAAAGATTACCATTTGGGGAAAGAGACTCACATTGTTTTATTTAACATATGATACATGAGCCAACGCATTGGAAAAGACTCTGATGCTGGGAATGATCGAAGGCAGGAGAAGGGGATGACAGAAGACGAGATGGTTGGATGGCATCACCGACTCAATGGACATGAGTTTGAGCAAGCTCCGGGAGCTGGTGGTGGACAGGGAAGCCTGCCGTGCTGCAGTCCGTGGGGTCACAGAGTCGAACACAACTGAGCGACTGGACAACATGAAAATCAAGCAGAATTTCTTGGGCTGGATCCTTAATTTTCATGGGTTCTGTTGTACCCATGTATGCACATAGCATACGTGATGGAATGTGATGGAACTTTGAGATTAAATATTCCAAGTATACTATTCTCACAAAACTTAAGTGATATTACTAAGAGTGTGGATCTCAAGCTGTTTTAGCCAGAATTACTTACACTGAAAATGAAGATTAATGGGATTTAATACAGTTAAAGCAATTCTAAAATTCAGTGCTAAAAAATCAGGGCCAAAATCTTTCTGAACTTAAGACTCAAAACTGTGCAAGCAACATACTGTGCTAAATCTACTTGTGCTCTTAAACTTATCTCATCTTCAACCTGCCAAATTAAATTTCACTTTTAAGAGAAACTATGATAATCTTATTATTATTTAAGAAAACAATTGTTTTCCCTTCGGGATCCCCTGGTGGCTCAGTGGTAAAGAAACCTGCCAATGCAGGAGACGTAGGTTGGATCCCTGGGTCAGGAAGATCCCCTGGAGCAGGAAATGGCAACCCATTCCAGTATCCTTGTCTGGAGAATCTCATGGACAGTGAAGCCCAGGGGGGTACAGTCCACGGCGTTGCAAAAGAATTGGACATGACTTAGAGACTAAACAACGACATTTTCCCTTCAACTTAAAACTTCAGATCATGAAGTTTCCCAGCACCTTTGATGAATAACAGGAAATCCGCCTTGTGATACATATACTCATAGGACACAGGACGACAACTCTTCTTCCTCTACCCCCTATATTCCACAGAAAAATTAAAGCACATTTAACGTACACTTTTAAATGATCAGAGAAAAGCCTAAGATTTAAAGGATACTTTACTTTCCCTCTTCATAACAAAATCCAACCTTTATTTTCCCTCTTTATAACAAAATTCCATCAAACACATTCTTTTTACCAAGAAAAAAAAAATCAACAGAATAATTTTTATTTATAATGAAGTTATTCTCTCTGGACTTTAAATCATCAGTTCACTCTTACAACAGAGATTCAATTTAAATAAGACCACCAAAATGGAATGGAAAAAGGAAAACAGTCTATTTTTACATATCAATTTCTTTGATATGTCATAATGATATACAATCAGTCTTGCAACATGGTCCATGTCCATTGAAATTCTCAACAGACTGTAAGTATTAAGTCCTTCATGTTGAAGTTTCAGTCCAAGGCGTGCCGGGCAAGGCCCTCGTGATTGCTCTGGAGGTTAGACAAACAGGGTTCTAAAGAAAGGCCGACATCATACGTACATATGTAATCCATCCACAAATGGATAGCATGCCTTCAGAGCCTTCGGTTTTCATAAGTCCCTTTGGAAAGTTGATTGATGAATTAATTCCATTTTACAAACAGAATTCTGCAGAACGAACCACTGCCTATACAGTCTGTGCCAACGTCCCTGACTTCCGCAGGTCCACCATCTTCTTTATCAGATCATATGGTGATGGCAGTCTTATTTTATCCATGTTTTTGCTGTAAACATTGAGAAATATACCAAGGACAACTAAGAAGCCAGACCACACATACCTAAGAGAAAGAAATAAGGAAAAAAAAAGATTAATGTCAGAGTAACAATTTATCATTAACCATAGAATTTGATGATTTCACAAAAATTCTTCAATAAAATATTTTGCTACTGGATACCGAAAAGCACTAAAATAGTATCTATTTTATTTTACAAATAATATTTAGGTCATAGTAGATAGAATTCTGTATTTTTAATGTTAAGTATGTATGTCAGGAAAGTATTTTACAGAATTTTAAATAGAGTGCATTTGAGTTTTGAGGATAATAGTAAATTCAAAGTCCAACACATCTACCACAAGTCTCGTAAGTATGTTTAAAGCACTGGATACATAAATCTGTCAGGGAATTTAACACAGCAGCCCAACTGGTTATCCCAGTGGGGGGGTAGAATATACAGACAGACAGGGGCACATCTGAGAAAGCAGAACTGGCGTGGATTAATACAACGGGTACCTAACCCACAGAAAGAGAAGCTCACTTATAGAAAACAAACCACATAGGTGCCCCTGCTATCAGCTGGGCACTGGTTCCAGAACTAATCCCCTCTACCCAGAGGATACTAAAAAATCTGCAGATGCTAAGGTCTTTTATATAAAATGGCAAAGTATTTGCATATAGCCTATGCACAACCTTGTGTATACTGTAAATCATCTCTAAATTATTATAAGACCTAACATGATGAATCTGCCATGCAAATTCCAAATGCACTTTTTGCAACTTTCTGTAATTTTTTTTTCTTGAATATTTTTGCTCTGCAGTTGGTTGAGTCTGCAAATGCAGAACCTGTGGATAAGGAAGACCGACTATATGGGGATGATAATTTATTGTGTGGTTACCTGACCCTTGAACAACGCAGGTTTGAAAAGCACAGGTCCCCTTATATGTGGTTTTTCTTTTTAATAAATACACAGTCGGTCTTCTGTGTGCATATGTGGAATCTGTGGACGCAAAGGGCTGACTGAAAGGGACTTCAGCATCCTTGGATATCGGGTCCTGGACCGGTACTCTGTGCATTCTGAGGGATGACTGTACAATGATCATGTCTAAGTCTGAATCTTCTCAATTACCAACCAGTATAAGTTTAAATGATAGTAATTTCAAGTACATACTAGACAGTAAAGAAAACAGTCAGTGCTTCTACCAGAAGCCAGAAACTGAGAAAACCATTAGGGCACAATTTACAGAATATTTCTCTTTGTAGGAAATATCCTTTGTAGGAAAAGGCAGCAAATAACCTTAAGAATCATCTATGTAGGTATTTATAATTTATATATCTGCACCAGGGCAAGGGGAATCCCTTAATCTCACCACATCATTCATATTCATTTATATAAGAAACAGGGTCACAAGTGCATTGGGACTGGTTAGGCAATTTAAGTGTACAAAATGATTTCTTCAAAATAATTACATACATTTCTGAAACAGCAGAAGACACATCCATAAATGTGGGTCAAGATGAAAAGGATTCTTGACAAAGAAATTAAGGCTGTTTAAGAGGAAACGTGGAAGTACCTAAAGGCAGAGAAACTTGTTGAATTGAGAAGTACTTACTGGAATGTGAATGGTTTGGCAAAGAATATAAATGAAAGAACAATGGTCATTGCTTTCCTCCCTGTTGTCACTGTAGGGAGAAAAAGGCTGGTTTTAGAATGCGCCTACTATCTTGGTAATACTTTGGAAATCATCTGTTTGACACATCTTTACAGAGCCTACTGTGCACCAAGATCTACACGAGGTGTCAAGGAAACAACAACAACAACAAACAACAGAAAGCCACTGCTCCTACAGCCGTGGAGTTCACAGTTTAGCAGGGTTACAGGCATTAAACAATGAGGCTACATTTTACAGTACAACTGTAGTGAGTACTTGATGGAGGCTGTGATGCCATGGAGCTTCACCAGCTTTTAGAGAGACATTCTTGGTCTGGCAAGAAACGTTTTTCCAAGGAAGACAGGATTAGGTAGAACGGAGATTCTTTGAAGGCGACAATCTACAGGACACCCTCACACTCTTAATGGTGGGCACAGCCGGATAAAACCATGAACATCTTTCCTGTCCTCTGCCCTTCAGGGGTTGTGGCCGGAAACCTTCCTCCCCGGTCCCACTCGGGGGGACAGGGACTCCGCCCGTGGCTCCAGCACACCTCCCTCCACTGGACTGTGCTCGGCTCAGCTCCTTCTCTTACTGGTCCTCCTTTCCCAGACTCTAGTTCCGGGGACATAAACGTTCAAAGCATGAATGAATGAATACCAGAACTGTTTTGGAAACACGTGTCAGAGCCTGACTCCCCAAAACTATTTTTCCTTCTACCTTAGTAAAAGGATCCCATTTTTTAACCAGGATACCTGCCCAGCCTCTCCTACACACAGTGGGTGTGGTCATGGAACTGGGTTTAGTCAACCAAGTGTCAATTCAAGTGTCAGCAGAAGTGCTGTCTCTAGGAGTGTGATTTCTAGGGAGTTTACATAAGGAGATGGACGTGTCTTTCATGTTCTCTCCACCTTCCTGCCGGGAAGGAGGATGAAGATGGCAGAGCAGAGAGACGGAGGGCCTGGAGCCACCAGGCCAGCTTGGGCAGCGTGGGGCATGTGGCCAGGAGGACATGCTTATTGCATAATCTATCAAGTATGTCATCCTTACCTGTTACAGCAAGAAGGGCACCGAAAATTTTAATCAAAGCCAGAACAAAAGAGATTCCAAAATACCCAGTGAGGGAGAAAAGGAAAGCATAACCATAGGTGCGAATTGGATCCTGTAAAATATAAAAAACTTTTCTAACAAAAAATGAAAAACAAACTCTGAGGTATTATAAATTAAATAAAACTACAGATTTTAATCAACTTCTTGAGCAATAATAAGCTTTTCAACAATGCAGTCAAGCAAAGATTCTTATTTAGTTCTGATTTAATGGAAAAATAATGATGAAATTAAAAATCCCCAACTTATACATTATGAATAGTTTAAAAAGTAACTTCTAGAAAAGAGCAAGGATAAAATAAATTTAAATATAAGTCATTTCATTTCTAAAATAATTTCTGAGCTACATATATTGTATTAAAGAAGTCATCAAGCTAAACAAAATACAGTCTTTTTGAACACGGGGAATCAGAAATACAGAGGAAACTAATGGAAGATGTTTATTTAAAAAAATGTGATTAGTGTTTACCTTTGAACAAAATGTTACTGCAGGGCCTAATCCACTAGTGCATGTCAATCCCAATAAAATGTACACAAAACCGATTGAATACGAATACAAAACCTAGAGAAGAGAAAAATAAAGCGGAAAAAAGTGCTCTTGAACCAAAGGTGGAAATGAATAGTTTTCAATATGTGGCTCAATTAACCTATTCAGTTAAATGTGTAGAAGAAACCATTTAAAAAGTAACATCATTGTTTCAATATGGTCTAATTTTCTGGGAATGATGGTTGATCCTGTTTATAAGTTTTAGGTACAATATAACTTGTATAACAGAACTCAGCAGAACTAATCCTTTCATATATGACTACCTAATTATTCATTTTTTGCTTAGCTTAATTACTGAATTCAAACCAGATTTTAGTGTTGGAATCCTAGAAATATACACAAGACAAAGATACTCTGAAAACTACTTATTAGACATGAAAAACCCAAACATTAAGCTTGCAAAGACTATTAAAATATAATGAAAATAAGCAGCATATGGCATATTTATTATTTGATTTCTCAATTTTCCTACCAACCTTTCTATCCTGGTTTATTATGCTCCTTATAAGCAGAATCAGCATTACTGTCAAACATCAAAACTTGCTATGTGTCAGGTACTGTGCTAATGATGCTCTATAGATTAATCCTTTTTATTTATTTCTCATAACCAGCTGAAGAGACAGGCACTTTTTTTTTTCAGGCTATACATATTTTTTTTAACCTTTTTATTTTGCATTGGGGTATAGCCGATTAACAAAAAATATGATAGTTTCAGGTGAGCAGTGAAGGGAGTGGGCCACACACACAGGTATCCATTCTCCCCCAGACTCCCCATCACCCAGGCTGCCACGTTAACACTGAGAAGAGTTCTCTGCACTGTCTAGTAGGGGAGTCAGGCACTCCTGACCATCATTTCCTACCAGTGTGTGGATGGGGAAACTAAAACTTAGAGATAGTAAGTCATCTTCCCGAAAGAGGAGAGCTAGTTTAGGGAGGACATAAACCAAGGCCATCTTAGAGCAGAGTGTACGTTTGAACCACTGTATTGCACTAACTTTCTAATTACCTACAGTTTCTTAATTCTCTGCTCTTTCCCTTACCCAGGAAGAGTGGTGATGATCAAGAAAACTCCTGACCAAGATTAAGGCTCCTGTGTTCTCAGGGACTCCGCACAGATGCCCCACTCTGCTCCTGAAGTAATCAGCCCTACATATCCTTAGCACAGTGAGCTCTGTCTGTCTAGCAAGGTGGTCGGCTGTAAAACTAACTCAAACACACACATAATGTATTTTCTGCATACAAATACCAACCAGTTAGAAGACACATGGGAAGATAAGATAATATTTGCAGTAATAAGGGCAAAAAGATGAAACACCTAACAATAACTTCAATAAAAAAAAATAACTGAATTTATACAAAGAAAACTTGAAAGTCTAAGGGACATTTAAAGGAAACACTTGAATAAAAGGAAAGTCATACCTTATTCTTGGACTGAAAGAATCGAGTGTATAGATACCATTCTCCCTAAATTAATTTATTATTCAATGCCATACCAATCACAATACCAATGAGATTTCTAGTTTATCTGGGGATATGAACACCCAAGAATAACTACTGGCAGTAAAATTCTGAAAAACAAAAGGAACGATGGTGGCTAGTCCTAACAGATGGTAAACATCTGGTGATAAAGCTGCTGTCATACGCTTCTGGTGCAGAAACAAAATGGAAAGGATAAAACTCCAAACCCTGAATCAGAACATGAGAGAATGGAAGAAGACATTTAAAATAAAAGTTGGAAAAGTGAACTATTCAATAAGTGATACTAGGGCAAGTGGATAGTCATATGGAAGAAAATTTTTAGAAAGCTTTGGCTGGATCAAAGATTTAATAAATAAGGAGATTATAAAACTAGGAGGCAACTGGCATAAAATTCTTAAAATTTTAGAGTTGGAAAAGCCCTTTTCAATAATAATGCACAGCCAGAAGCCATGAAGCAAAAGATAAGCTAAACTACAAGCACATTACAAACTTCTAGATGGAACATAATACTAGATGCAAAGAAAGAATAAATATGATGCAACAGAGAAATTTTTTAACATGCCCCAAACCCCATAAATCAAAGAGGAAAAAAGATTATCAAATGCTTATCATAAGGTGTAAGTGGTGGTAATGGTATTTTACTTTTTACCTTCGTATGACACTTGAATGTGCTTTTATGAAAATAGTGATGATAAACCAGTTTAAAAATGCAATGCAAAAATGCAAATCTTCAGTACTATAATTTTGTCATAAAACTAAGGACATCATCATTTTTGAGTCTGTCTGATGTGATGAAAAAGCAAGAGAACATTTACCATTTCTGAATTAGAAGCATTATGCAGCTTCATAACTTTCTCTTGGACATTCCCAATGACAGCATCTGCGCACAGAGCCAGCGAGATGAGGACCACACCTTCAAGAAGGCATAAGAAAAAAATAACCTTCTCATTCAAATGTATGAACAGTAATCAAGACTTATCAGAAATTTAATGGGCTAAAAAAACAGCAGACCTTAAATTACACTTGCTCAGTAGAGTATTCTTATCCACATCCAGTTGTAACAGGCATGTAGGTGGTATTATTGAAGAAAACAAAACTAACATTAATAAATTGCATTAATGCCATCACCTTGTGTTTAATAATCATGTCAGATAACAGTTTTACATTTAAAGTATTGATTTTTAATAGGACTTGAGATCATTATTTTGCAGTTATCCTGGATTTTATATGGATTTTATATACATATTTTTGTTTTAAAAGGCTCTTTTGGAAAGGCTCATAATGCACAGAAATGAAGTCAGGCAGTTTCAGAACTTTAGTGATTAGGTTACAAGTCTGAAAGAAACACTGTACTGAACAAATATGGTGAGAAGTTACAGAACCACTGAAATCACCTTTTTCCATCATCATCACCCACACCCCCATGTGCAGGTGCTTTCACATCCATTATACGCTCCCACTACGTTCGTGTGAGGCAGGCTCTTATCTTTTTTATGTGAACCACTCCTATCCCTGGTGGCTCAGGTGGTATAAAGAACCTGCCTGCAATGCAGGAGCCATAGGTTTGATCCCAGGGTTGGGAAGATCTCCTGGAGGAGGAAATGGCAATCCACTTCAGTATTCTTCTCTGAGATATTGCATGGATGGAGGAGCCTGGCAGGCTACAATCCACGGGGTTGCAAAAAAGTCAGACACGACTTAACGACTAAGCATGCACATGCCTCTGAAATGACTTTCCCCCTCAGTCTCCAAATATAACCTTCCTTTTGCAGGTGTGGACACAAAGAAGTTAAAACAATGAAAAGTAAGTGTGTACATTTCTTTTTTCTTTCTTAAGAAAATAACCATTACTACTGTGGTTCTATAACTTGTGTGTTTATTTCCAACTCAGTCCTTAAAAGATTGATCTATCAAGTACTTGGAAACAGGAGATCCTAACAGCCTCCTGTCATGTCAAAATACAAGAGTACTGAAAATGATGGTTATGTTTCAGAGTTGTGACACTTTTACTACATCTTATATCAGAGTTCAAAAACTTTATGCTAGATATGAGAACCACAGATGTCACACCATCATGTAAAACACTAATCAAAGTATAAAAATTCTTACTCTGAACTGAAATGCTGACAAAATCCAAGAAGACAGATAAATTCCTTACCTGTCAGGTTGAAATTTGGTGCAACCGTGCTGTCGGCTAGGGTAAACCATATCAGGCCGAGGCTCATACATAAGGCAGCAGACACGTCTGCAACATTATAACGCTTTCCTGTGTATAATAAAGGGTAAGTCAACCTCATTATGCAATTACCCACTCAGCACAGTGTTGGATCTATGCGTCTAACAAGCTCAGCAGGGATTGCTTTTTATACACAATGTCAGAAATGATCAAGAACATTTTAGTCAAGGGATGAGATGGTCACAGAAGAGTTTCTGAAAATTAAATTATCCTATGAGCACCAAAATGTCCTTTAAATTAGACACGAAATCCTTCTTTCATCTGTTATGACAGTGATTAAATTAGAACATTTAAAAGGTTTGTGGAATTAGTGCCTCTTTTATAACATAAGCCTATGAATTCTCATAGTTTCTAAGTTTACAAAGTAACCAGAGTAGTTATTCAAGGCTATAGATAAGTTTGCAAATAACTCCAGTCAGATAACTTCTAAACTGGTGAGGATTAACTTATTTCAGTACATCTACATTTAAATAAGGAAATTATACAATGTAACTTTTTGGAAGGATTGTAATGAGATATTATTACACAGGTTAAGTTATTTACAGAGTTAAATGTGATTTTTTAAGAGGAATTGAGATTTTTTTCCTATATGAACAGTTATCCTGAAATCATACATTTCAGTTGACATGCATATTTTCATTTTAAAAGGCTCTTTTGGGAAGGCTTATAACGCATAAAATGCAGTCAGGGCTGTGTGAGAAATCTAGTGTTATCAGAACAGGAATTCCTCGTGACTGTCATATGAACTTGCTCCATAGCTTGTCACTATCACTGCTTCCTCTTTTACTCTAGCTTTCATAGGCCTGTAACTTAGTTGGGGCTCAGCAGAGTGGGTTAAAGAACACTTTTGCTCAGCTTAAGCTATACTTCATCATGAGAATTATCCATTTGTACAACAGAGGTGGAGAGTGGAGCCCTGGAGAGTAGGAAAATCAAAGAGTTGAAAACAGAGCTTTCTGGGTACTTCTGAGCTAAGCCTTCAATATGTGAATACGGCCTTTAGGCAATGTAGTAGACTCCAGGCAAAAAGAATAAAACAAAATACTATTTTGATTTTCCCCAAGTCCAAAGGTTTCAGATCCTGAGGTATATCAGGGAAGTATCAGTGTTTTTATAATATCTTATTTATATTAGATTATCCCTCAGAATTGTTACAATACCGAGAATGTTCATTAAAGATATTAATCGAAGTTTAATGTTTTTCCTAATGCTAGATGTCACAGCATATCCTGTTAGCTTCAAACAGTATGAAAACATATCATTACTATACCTTGAATAAAAACTCCTCCTAGCATAACAGGAATCAATTTGCAGCACTTGAAGATGACTTGGGTAGGATAATTCAGGTAGCCCAAGGAAGTGTTTGATAACCCCATAGTACCCACAGTTAGAAAAGCTATTATCATGTAGGTTTTTCCTGGTATTCTGTAAAAGACAATTTTCAAAATCTTCATTTTGGGACCCAATTATACTACTGTAAGAGAATGTGCTTACAATGTGTAAATTCCTAATTACTCTTCTAATTTCTGTTTAATACTTCTAGAAATATTGGTAAAATATCACTATTCTTAAAGGTATAGCACTGGTTACTTGTATAAGAGAATGCTGGTAAAAATAACAGTTTACCCTTATTTAATGAACTGTAAGTGAGGGCTCTCAACTGTGTGAAAAAGTAGTACATTAGAGAGTTACTTATATTCTTACTAAAAGTATAAATGTTTGTTACAGTTAAGGTTTTTTAACAGTAGTGACAGTTACATACAAAAACCATCTTGACTAAATGTAGACAAGAAGAATGGATATTTAAGAAATATTGGCTCCTAAAAGGGTAAAAAAGCACCTTGCTGTTGCTATTCAGTCACTGAGTTGTCTCCGCCTCTTTTGTGACCCCACAGACTGTAGCCCACCAGGATCCTCAGTCCATGGGGTTCTCCAGGCAAGAAAACTGGAGTGATTGCCATTTCCTTCTCCAGGGGATCTTCCTGACCCAGGGATCCCACCTGGGTCGCCTGCATTGCAGGCAGATTCTTTACCGTCTGAACCACCAGGGCAGCCTTAGTTAACTTTCAGCTCCTTTTAACTCCTAACTGCTGCTGTTTCCTAATGTTTCCATCTAGCATCAGGAAAAATATATCTGTCCATTCTGCTCGAATAATCAGAGCAGAATTTCTCTAGGAAGTCCATGGTGGTTTAAAACTCTAGATGATTTTTATTACTATAATGTCTTATGCCTTAGCTCTAATGCTATTAATTCTACAAATTGTTAAAACAACCAACTTTCTGATGAGGAATCCGACTCTCTCATGATACCAGATGTTCTACTTTGGGTTCTAACTGGACTTCCTAAAGGAGACTCTTAATATGGTATCTTCAGAATTTTGAGCTATTCTTGGGAGCATATGCTTACTTTGAAGACATACTCAATGATCTAAAATAATAACTTTGTACATTCACATAATTCTATTATGTTGCATTTTTAGATTTATGTTGCAGATTTAGATCTAGTCTTCATTTTGGGATTTGTGTTCATGTTTAAATCAAGACAACAAAATTCAATTTTTTTTTTAACATGGCTATGCATAAGGCAAAATAATTTACTAGAAAAGTTCAATTAAAATGTATCATTCCAATTCAATTTTGAGACCTTTGCTTACACTTAACTATGAACACAGTGGTCAATATTCAAAATTCACATGGAAATAACTGGGCATGCCCACACGTATCAGTGCACACAAACACTGGTTTCTACACTGTCCATGGGGTTTAACCCTCAGGGGGGTTACCAGTGAAGCAGGTACAGCACTGCTTCTCCAGGAGACGACAGAAGTCAGAAGGGGCAAATTTCCTCACTCATAAATTGCAAACAGTGGCCAGAAAAGTCAAGTCAGAAGAATCACAAGATTAGAAAAGCAGCGCAGTAAAGGAGAAGGAAAGCCAGCCTGCAACTCAGGAACCCTAAATTCAAAAGGTCCCAGCGTGGGGCGTGAGCTCACGGAATCCCCGCTCTGCTCCGGGTCTGCTTTCTCACTGCTGACATGAGACCAGATTTCACCATCTTGCCTCTAGGACTCTCACTGTTTCTACTCGAATACTCCAACTACTTACTACTTTAGATATGATGGGGAAGCTGTAACTTTGAAAAGTCCTTTGAAAAGCAATTTGACAGATCTCCTTTACTGAAAACTTACACAGAGAAATCAACACCAAAGTTACAAGGTCATCTTCACTGAAATAGCAAGGCGTATACTTAAGGAATTCTAGACCATGACATGTGATACCACACATCGCCATATTTCATCCTCAACATGAAGGAGAGACAATGTCAGAAACTTCCCTGGGGAATTGACAGAACTAAGAGGCTCAAATTCATATTTTCTAACCAAATTCTGTACTCTTACAAGCTCATGGATATTGACACAAATACAGGAAGGGAGAAAAAACTAAGCAAAGAATTCAACTAATTAGAGGGCTAAAGAGCAGTGCCACTTAAATAAATTCAGAGATAGATACATATTAAGAAATATGCAACTGGGCATGTTTTCACTGTAATACACCTTTAAAGATTTTTTTTTTCTAAAAAGGGTTTTAATGTGCCTCGGAATAAAAAGTTCTCAATTCATAATTACATTTTATTATAGGCCTGTAAATTCTTCTACCTAATTTCTTCACCTCTGTTTACGTTAAACACAAATGACTTTGTCTTTAAATATGTTATGGGCCAGTGATTTGAGGGCTGAGAAAAACATGACTGATGGCGCACTCTCCATCTTTTGGTAGCTAAGAAAAAGCTGTATCTTTTTAAAATTTACCACTTAGGAGGATGCGTCATCTAGTGTTTTTTTCATCTAATAAATACAGCACTGTGATTTTTTTACTTTAAAGTAATCAGAGGTCCAGCAATTTGCAATACATAATAAATCATCAAGTTTCCACGTATATTAGTCTTGACAGATGTATTTACTTACTTTCTATTCTATCTCCTATGGCTGAGCTAAGTTTTGCGGAGTTTCAGAGCATGAAAATGATGAAGATCTTGGAATCAAACATTTTTAAAATTGCTGCCGTAATAATTTATTGGCAATATAGAGGTTGAGATGTAAAATTAGACCAATGATACTGATACTGCTCATTTAAATATGTAAAATGTTATAGTTATCTTCATACAAATATCCAAAACACCTATTTAAGAAAACATTTATATCAATGAAGACAATGTCAACACTGTTATCTCCTTGGTACACTTAAACTATCCAATATATGTATGAAATACTCACATTCTAGGGTCTGACATGACAGGATAACCACACTTAAACTTACCCAGAAAATATTATATTCAAATTCCTTATCACCTTCTGATATGAGATGAAGTTTTCATTGCATATTGTTCAATATGCCAGGAAAAATATTTCAAGATATTACTCAAACCTAGGTGGTCATTAATTTAAAAGATACTGTCATATAAACGCTTAAGTTTTGATGGGAAAGAACATTATGAAATTTCTCTAATGTCCATGAATATAATCCCTACTGCTGGTCATTACAAATGTGATAAGTGGAACATGACCCACAAAACAAAGCATTAACTGTCCATTTCAAAAAACCAGTATAAAAATAGGTATTCACATTTCATATCAAGGCCACTCTTAGGTAGTATAAAATTTTCAGCAATCACACCTATTTCCATTATAAGAACATATATGTACATCTGAATATGTTCTAAGAAAATCTATCTTATTATTGAGTCTGAACAACATTCCGTTTCTGGTGGCGCTGCGTGGCTTGTGGGATTTTAGCTCCCTGGCCAGGGACTGCACCAGGGCCCCTGCAGTGAAGTGCAGAGTCCTGACCATGGGATCATCAGGAAATTCCTTCAGCAAGTTTTTGGTGTTACACTTCAGGGGATACTACTTTTTTCAATATATAATGGAAATATCAAATTTACTATTTTTAATACATTGACAACACTGATGAAAATTCTTGGGTATTAAATGCTTTATTAACGTAAAACATATATATTTCACATATAACATACTCCATGCGCCCAAAATAATAAAACAAGAAAATTAACTACTAGTCATGTACTTAACTGCCAAAAAATAAAAATAAAAACAAGCAAACCACATACCTTCTCCTTTTGTCCTGAATTAGCTGAAGTTCTATTAGGCCAAATATGGAGTAAAATGCAAACTGCACTAAAGTAAGATACCAGCCATAGGGCTTAAAACCCTCCACTGAAAATATTAATTCCTGTCAAGAGATACATGAACACTGTTAAGTTCAGCGGAGGACCAATCTCCTCACAATGAATTCATATAAGCACAGCATTTTAATAGAAACCAAGCTTCACCCCTCAAAACAGCAAAATGAACCCCAAACCATCCAAATGTAAGGTTTCTTAGAGAAGCTCAGATGCCTTTAAAAAGACGGCAGACATCCAGCACAACAGGAGAGGGGGAGGAAGAACTAGGAAGTAACCCCACTGCCTGCTTTTCTCTTTTTTTAAAAGACCAAAATTAAGAGAGTTGCCCAAAACAATGAGGGAGGCAACTGACTGAAGAACTCATGTACTTTTTAAAAAGCAAGTCTCATTAGAAGTCTACTACCGCAAGCCTGTTTTCCTGTATTAAAATAATCATTCAACTCACTAGTTAATGGATTTTTTTAGAAGTCCTGCATCATGGATTACATAAAAAACTTTCCCTTATAGAAGAATGGTTACTCTTCGAAAGCATAATGTTGTATCATGAAAAAAATTTGTTAATTGTTAATAAGCCATTCTTAATCCCATTAAGTTGTCTAATAAAGTTATCTGGCTTAGCTAAATAAATCACCTACCACATATATAAATATTATATAAAATTACATAATATATAATATAAATATACATTTCAGCTATACTTTAAATAAATTTTAAAAAGATGAAATTGATGGATAAATTTATGTTCAAAGAAAAACTAAACATAGGCTCTAAAAAGATCCTGAACTGATTTTGTCCATTTAGGATTCTGTGCAATTTGCCAAATTTGGATTTCATGTTTAAGTAAGTCTGTGAGTTATTTAGTAGGAGTTATCTGGTTTATAAAAAACCAAAAAATATCTTTATTAATATCCTGACACTAGGTAAATATTTCACTTTCTATATTGCTAAAATTACTACAAAACCCCATTTTCTTTAAACTATTTTAACATGGAGTTTTATGGAAGAGTTAGTAGCAATGTCAGTTCTCACCAAAGTAATGTTACAATTTAATCAGTTTATCTAATTTTAAAAGAAACTTCGAACATATTAGTTTTAAGTTAAAATCCCTGATCATTTATCAAATAGGAAAAAATTTAACGAAATTTGTAAATTTCTAATTCATTTTCCATTACAATGGCTAACTTTGCTCCCAAGCTATTTGGTAACAATGGTATTTCAAAGGAGAAAAAATGCTTCTCAATAAGAAATTTCAACATCTGATAAAAGTTACTATTTTGTGTTGTTCTTCATTGTTATACCTGAATTTTTATATCATGTTCTAGTAGAAAAATCAGTTATCAATATAAATATTAAGATTTTAAAAATTCATGTTGTTTTACACTAAGACACCCTATAGCACTTTTAGAAGCAAAGAAATAGTCACAATTCTATTTTCTATTTTTAAACTTACTTTTATATTTCATTTCTATAAGATAAAGGAAAAGCAAATAATAATTTTTAAGATCACTCTGATTATAAAGAATATCAGAAATATTATCTACATTTAAGAAAATGCATCACTTTCCTTTTCTTGAATTATAAAGATTTCTCATGTTAGGGAATTGCAAAGAAAAAGCAAGTTGGTAAAGGCTGAAAATATCCACTAATGAACTGACAATTGAGAATATGTCTGCTATTTACACTAGCCTGGATTGTTATCCATCTAGCTCATGTCTTTGAAGGTCAGGACTTTGCTGGTCAGATGTATACAATTATCCCATAAAACAACACAAATACAAGACAAATTGTGGCAATGCTAGACATTTTTTGCAGAGGCAAAAATCACAGAAAAATAACGTGCTGGCAAAGTTGGCTTCCCTTGTAGCTCAGTCAGTAGAGTCTGCCTGCAATGCAGGAGACTCGGGTGCAGTTCCTGGGTAGGGAAGATGCCCTGGAGAATCCACTGGCAACCCACTCCAGTATTCTTGCCTAGAGAATCCCATGGACAGAGGAGCCTGGAGAGCTACAGTCTATGGGACTGCAAGAGTTGGACATGACTGAGCACAAAGCTTGTTTATAAGAGGAAACCAACAAGGATGAGAATACAACAGATGCTTAAAGAATGGTTCAAATAGTATAGGATTAAAGACACACCCTTGGAAAAATATTAAACATCCAGATATATTCTTGCAAAATGACCTCTTACTGAGCTCCAGGAATTTAAAAGTAAATGGGAATATGGCTTTCGTGCTGTTCAATTTTATGTGAGAACTGTGTTACAAAATACCAATCAATACTTGAATCATTTTCTTTTAAAAAACACATGGTTATACTTATTATACATTTTCCAAAACATAACACTTCATATTTTTTCATAATTTTAGTTTTTAAAAATTGTCTACGGCTCCCCTTCCCCCATGTAAAATACTTCAGTCTAAAATTTGGATCCCTGTTTTCAGCCAATTTTATCTTAAGTAGCCCTTTGCTACTAGTGTACTAAGAAACTCAAATCTGTGAATCAACTTGCTATCCTATGAAGGGAAGTCTCTTGGACAAAACTGTTGGTAGGGCCCATAATGAGCTCAACTACTACAAATAATTAACATGTTATAAACAAATAACTAATTTTTTACCTGTAAATATCCATAAATTAGGTAAAATACAAAAACTCCAGCAATGCATATGAAAAACTGAGTCAGTTTGTTGAATCTGCTGAGATTTATGCCAAGCACTACAATGTCATCTATAGACTTGATGTGTGGTGACATTGCTTGGGTTTTGGAGGGGACAGTGATAGAAATGTATTTCCTGGAGCTGTTGAACTTGAGATCCATTGTTCTTATTTTGCCGCATTCAGTGCTACCAAAGTTATCTTTGTTGGTTTTCTCTCCTTTGTTCAGTCCTCCTGCCTGCTGAGCCACGTCCTACAGAAGGAAATAAACAATTTGAGCAAAACATTTAGACCATCACGTAAAGTGCTATGCTCCAAATACTATCTCAGATCACATTTTGAAATTTATATAGGTAAGAGTCATTCTCTCTGGATATTTTACATTAATTCTCCTCTTCAAGCTTCCAATCGACCAAAATAGGTTTACTCTCTAAACAATCTACCTTCACCTGATAAAGACCAATACACCACTAAATACACACCATTCTTGTCTCCACAGCAACAAATCAAAAACTAACCTTGTATTTATTTCAAAGAAGTAAAGAAGTAAGGGTGCCTTTATTATGCTTCTATTTGTAGTGAGGATATAATTTTTAAAGTCCACAATAATATATGCAGAACATCTTCAACATTAAAAGTCAATCTCTAACTGTAGAAAAGAGTAAAGAACGGCCCAAACGCCTACAGCTACTCAGCCCACTGTAAAATCGATTTGCTAATGACACTGTAAAATAAGGTCAAACATATGTAGTTTATGCAAAAATCCAGATTTATCTGAGACTAAAGAAAAGATACTATGCTTTAGCAACAGCATCTCTTAAGTTAAAAGGAAATGTTTTCTTCCTTTGGAGAACATTATTGTAATTTAAAAAGTCTTTGGTATAGTTGTTCAGTGGACATAGAGCTTCAATTACACCAGATAACTCTAGCCCTAGGCATCACCTGTTCCAGAGACCCTGTAACACAGTACCTATGGTTAACTATGTGGGGCTGTGCACTCAATCATTTGTTAAGCGGGTAGATCTTATGTAAAGCATTCTTAATAGCAACACACACACATCCAGGGGACACAAGGCACTTCTGGTGGGGACAGATATGTCCATTACCTTGCACATGGAGATGAGATCTCAGGAGTATGCATATGCCCAAACTCATCCAATTCTATCTATTAAACATGTGCATTTCTTGTATGTATCAATTTTACCCCAATAAAGCTGTTTAGAGAAAAGAAATAAAAAATAAAAAAGTTCTTGGGTTTGTAAAAAGTGAAAAAAACATCACTTTTTGTTAGTTTGTTAAAGGAAATGTTTTCTTCCTTTGGAGAACATTATTGTAATTTAAAAAGTCTTTGGTATAGTTGTTCAGTGGGTATAGAGCTTCAATTACACCAGATAACTCTAGCCCTAGGCATCACCTGTTGCAGAGACCCTGTAACACAGTACCTGTGGTTAACTATGTGGGGCTGTGCACTCAATCATTTGTTAAGCGGGTAGATCTTATGTAAAGCATTCTTAATAGCAACACACACACACACATCCAGGGGCCACAAGGCACTTCTGGTGGGCACAGATATGTCCATTACCTTCCACATGGAGATGAGATCTCAGGAGTATGCATATGCCCAAACTCATCCAATTCTATCTATTAAACATGTGCATTTCTTGTATGTATCAATTATACCCCAATAAAGCTGTTTAGAGAAAAGAAATAAAAAATAAAAAAGTTCTTGGGTTTGTAAAAAGTGAAAAAAACATCACTTTTTGTTAGTTTGTGAAAAAAAATATCATGAAAGCTCCACAGATGACTGTCAATTTCTCTTTGGATTAATAGAAACTGAAAAATAAATTCACGTAAACGTTGACGAGACAGTGTAGACGTATGACAAAGTAAGGAACAAACTTATTAAGAAAAAATTACTTTCCTACAAGAGACTGTTACAATCCCAGAGGGAACTAAAACATAGACTCTACTTGAAGGAAGAGGATAATAATAATTTTGACAGTGAATTATCCAGAAATCTTAAAAGAAAAAACAAAACAAAACAAACACCCCCCTTGTGATATGGAAGTTTAAAAGGGCAATAATTAGTTACTTCTTCAAGATCCCTTCTAATCTGCTGAGTTACAGAGATTAAGTAGGCCCTGTTCTGCAATTTAAACTTGGGGTCAAGGCTCTGAATACAACTTGTAACTAACAGTAATACACAGGCATCGAAGAATGTTTGTTGAACAAGCTACCTGCCATGTTTCTAGACAGAAAAATGTGTACTTTTAAGAAGTTTTTACTGTACTTCCTTTCTGTATTTCTTTTACACATGTTCTTATTTCCCACATGCTTAATTAATGCCATCTCTGTTTAAAGTCATCTTGCAGGAACCCCTTGAGATATGACTTTCATTATAAAGCATGCCTTAAAAGACCTCACCTAAATGTCGTGTCTGAATGTAGAAGAAACAAAAAAGTTGGCAACTATTTTCCATATGTTTTGGCCTGGGTGTAGAGCACCATTCAAATAAATCTGTTCTTGTGTAGGTTTTTAAACTTCCTCTCCCTTCCTGGAATTGAGAATGCAATGTTTCACTAAACAGAACATCACTGGTTTAGATTATGTGACTGATAGAGGAGGACACTGAGCTCTGATCGCCAATAACTGTGACGCTGATGGCCGTATTCCTTCCATTTCAGGCATCAGTGACTGACATTAATCATCATCTGGAATAAAACAGTAGCATTTCCAGCACATATTGAAATTTAAAAATAAATGAATGGTGAGAACACTGATTTAAAATGACCTACTAAAATAAAATTTAACTTCTTAATCTACTCTTTCTTAACCTTTAGAAGAAAAGTCTCCCACTACAAAAAGGTAGACTATAAGGAAAATATGCTATGATGTGAATAACCTAAAAAAAAAAACTGATTTTGTATTTTGCCACACTATGCTTTACAATTAAAAGAATCTTTCCATTTGTAGCTAGATTAACTGGACTCTGGATATTAAACATGACCTGTGGGGTATAATTATAAAACAGAGAAAAACAAGATTCTGTGCTACTTCTTAGAACACACTTCACTGCACAAAGTTCAGGAAACTGTGTGCTCATTTTTAAAGGTTATTCCTTTTCAGATTGCTGGAAGAAATATCAATAACCTCAGATATGCAGATGACACCACCCTTATGGCAGAAAGTGAAGAGGAACTGAAGAGCCTCTTGATGAAAGTGAAAGAGGAGAGTCAAAAAGCTGGCTTAAAATTCAACATTCAAAAATCTAAGATCATGGCGTCTGGTCCCATCACTTCATGGCAAATAGAGGGGAAACAATGGAAAAGTGAGAGACTTTATTTTGGGGGGCTCCAAAATCACTGCAGATGGTGACTGCAGCCATGAAATTAAAAGATGCTTGCTTCTTGAAAAGAAAGCTCTGACCAACCTAGACAGCATATTAAAAAGCAGAGACATTACTTTGCCAACAAAGGTCCATCTAGTCAAAGCGATGGTTCTTCCAGTAGCCATGTATGGATGTGAGAGTTGGGCTATAAAGAAAGATGAGTGCCAAAGAATTGATGCTTTTGAACTGCGGTGTTGAAGAGTCCCTTGGACTGCAAGGAAATCCAACCAGTCAATCCTAAATGAAATCAGTTCTGAATATTCATTGGAAGGACTGATGATGAAGCTCCAATACTGTGGCCACCTGATGTGAAGAACTAACACACTGGAAAAGATCCTGATGCTGGGAAAGATTAAAGGCAGGAGGAGAAGGGGGTGACAGAGGATGAGATTGTTGGATCGCATCACCAACTCAATGGACATGAGTCTGAGAAAGCTGCAGGAGTTGGTGACGGACAGGGAGGCCTGGCGTGCTCCAGTCCATGGAGTCTGAGCACATAAACTGACTGACTCTTTTTCCCCAAGGGAAAAAACTAAAATTAGGATTGAACAGGTATATTAAGAAATTAAGTACAAATAAAAGTGTTAGTTGGTCAGTCCTCTTGGACTGCAGCCTGAGAGGCTCCTCTGTCCATGGGATTCGCCAGGCAAGAATACTGGAGTCGGTTGCCATTTCCTCCTCCAGGGGATTTTCCTGACCCAGGGATCGACCCTTTGTCACCTGCAGTGCAACCGGATTCTTAACGCTGACCCACCTGGGAAGCCCTAAGTGCAAATAACACCTGTCTAAATTATTTTCAAAGTCTGTATCTCTCTCTTTCGAATCCCAAACTATGTCAATTAGAAAAACGTCCATCCAATAAACAGTTCTAGACATCTGATATCTTACTGCAGAAGAAATGCATATGCCCAATACTCAAAAACAAAACAAAACAAAAAAAAACACAAAAAGAACACCAAATCCTTTCTCCTTCTTTCAACCTCTCAGAAAACAAAAAGGTGGTGGGAGTGAAACGGCAAAGCCTGGAGGAGTCGGCAGGGTACGAGCGGAAGGTCATGCCACGAACTTGACAACCTGATGAGGAGAGCCGCCTCGCACTGCAGGTGGACAGCGGAGTACCACAGAGTGCCCCGCTGGACGCAGAACCGGGAAGTAGTTGTCAACTCTAAACGCTGTCGTGGTCGGAAGCTAGGAGGAGGCTGACAGGGGTCCAGAGGCCCGGGGGAATAGCCTAGCAGACCAGACCCTTCCAGAGGTGGTCTCGGGCCTGCGGGTCCACACACCGGCCCGAGCGAGCTCTCGCCAGCTGGAGGGCACAAGGGGAGACCGTGCCAGCGGGTTTCCGTTAAGCCAGGCCCCGGCGCCCTGTCTTCCGACCTCGTCCCGCTCCCTCACGAGGATGCAGGTGGGCGGTATCACGGTTCTCAGGGGGGACGGGGAGGGCTGGGTCCCAAACACGGCGAAAGGCCCGGGGGTCGGAGGGGGGGCCCTGGGTCACCTGGAAGGGGGACCCCAGCCTAGGGGCCGCCTCAGCCAGACGCAGCGTCTCCCCCTCCCCAGGTCCGCTGCCATCACCTCCTGCGTCTCCTCCTCGCCCACTCCGGCACTTGCCACCTCAGCCGCCGCCGCCACAGGCGCCGCCTCCCCGCCAGGTGCTCGCATCCCCGGCGCCCGCGCGCCACTTCCGCTTATGTGTCCGCCTGCGCGTGCGCAGTCGCACGGCCCCGCCCCCTCACCGGCCCCGAGCCTCCGCCGGCGGGGGCGCGGCTACGCCTCGCGCATGCGCCCTCTGCCCCGGCGCGCGCTATCCCAGCGCCGCTGTGGTCCAGAGATGATGCTGCGAGTGTGCTGCTCAGCCGGTTAAACGTAGCGTCCCGGCGGCGAGTGACTGTCGGGTGGAGAGCTCTCCTCCTCCGAACTGTACTGCTATTGTTTCTAGTCTTCGAGCCTCTGAGCCCGTGCAGCTCCTCTGGCTGCAGGGCGGGGGACCCTGGGCCCCGTGGGTGCCCACGCAGGTGGCCTTGCCCTGGAGTTTGAGAAGGAAGCCGGCTGGAGAATGTTGAACCCCGATACAGACACCCCAGGGTTCCCTCTTACCTCTGCTCGATCCAAATGAGATGGGGTAAAGTCACACTACCTTTCTCTACTTCCATGTTCTACCTGCTTTCTGGAGACGGTGAACCCAAGTAATGCTTCGGTTGCCTCTGACGGAATAATCCAGTTTTTGGCTACTGCAACCCCGGTCCTTTTCGCGAGAATTAGCGTTGTTGTGACGGTGCCACTTGCTGCTCAGAATGTGTAAATCCCACAGCTCAGCCAGCCCCCAAACTAAACGTTTACCCTGCAGCTAGGGCTGCAGGTGCAGTGATAATTGGTTTGGGGGTGACGCTAAAATGTTACAGATTACTGTAAGAAAGGAACATTTTTGAGAACATGCTTTAGATACCGAGGAAAGGAATGAATTGGGTTAATATATAGGTTGCAATCCAGTTGTGTGCAGCTTTCAGAATTTCACAGGGAGGAGCGTGAAGATTTATACTGAAGCACAGCGGGCATCTCCTGTTGGAGGTGGTGGGTCTGCTAGGCATTTCCATTTAATACGTGTTAGGTTGAATTTTACAAATGTTGACTATGGCTTAGACAGTTTAAATGTCCTCAAGAAGTAGTAAATGACAGGCTTCCAATGATGCCATTCTGTTACTTGGATAATGTGGATTTAAGTCTGCTGTTAGGCATGTATACAGCATGGGTCGTGCACATAATCCATAAATTAGAAATGTAAGCTTCTGACCTTAAGGAGTTAGAGATAGAAAGGGTAGATGTTGGCATGAAACAACTTACAAGAGATGTCCTGAGTTACCATCTACTTGTGCCTGGACAATTGCGGTAGTCTTCTAGCCAGTCTTGCTGCTTCCCTTTTATTTCTCTACATCTCAGTTCCCTTCAGCAGCTGGAACATCCTTTTAGAAACTGAGAGAGAATATACCATTCCTCTGCTCAGAACCCATTTTACTCAGATTCAAATTCAAAAGCTTTACCTTCTAAGTTCAAAAGTTCCTCCTAAGAAGAAAACTCCATCTGGATGAACCGCATCCACAGCTGCTATTTAAAGCCCGTCTCACCCTGTCCTGCCACCCTGGGCAGCAGCCCTCAGGACTCACTGTTCCTTCTGCACAGACCACTGCCCTCTCAGCTATCCACGGAATGAGTGCCCTCACTTTCCAATGTAGTTGGTCAAATGTACCTTGGTCTGAGAGTTCTTCCCTGACTGCTCCATCCAGAAGAGCTAACTGCCACCCGCCCCAACCACCCACACACTGTCCTTCCTCAGCTTCATGTGACTGCATAGCACTTGTTATGACTTCCCACACATGTGTCGTTTATATCTCCCTCACCTCTTTCAGTTCAGTTCACTTCAGTCGCTCAGTTGTGTCCGACTCTTTGCGATCCCATGGCCTGCAGCACTCCAGGCCTGCCTGTCCATCACCAACTCCCAGAGCTTACTCAAACTCGTGTCCTTTGAGTCAGTGATGCCATCCAACCATCTCGTCCTCTGTTGTCCCCTTCTCCTCCCGCCTTCAGTCTTTCCCAGCATCAGGGTCTTTTCCAATGAGTCAGTTCTTTTCATCAGGTGGCCAAAGTATTGGCGTTTCAGCTCCAATGAATATTCCAATGAAAATTGGACTATTCCAATGAATATTCAGGACTGATTTCCTTTAGGATGGACTGGTTGGATCTTACCTCTTTAGCTCTGCTGAAATGTTCCATGAGAGCAGGATTTTGGTCTGATTTATTCACAGCTCTAATGCCATCATCTGGAAAAGAGTGCCTGGCACACAGGCTACTCTCAGTAATTACTTGGTGAGCGAATGACTCAGTGCCAAACGAGTATGAGGATAGTACTAAGGAAATTCAGGAGAAATAAAATGTTGGCTGGAGTGGTTTGAAAGCTTCCTTTAGAAGGCAGGATCTAAAGGATGAGGAGGATTCTCTTTGGGTGAAAGGGGGCTGTTTAGAAAGGGGGAAACGGGAAGGAGGGGTAGTCAGAACAGAGTCAACCAAAACAGAGACACTGGACAAGGCTGTCTTGGAGTCTGCAGTCATCTGCAGTCATTCTCAGTGCAGCCTCTAAAAGTATAACCCAAATGGGAAACTGCTAGTGGCACATCTGTGAAAATTCACTTTGCTTCATCAAGGCTGGTTTATCTTTCCCTCTTTACTGGCAAATCCTATCCTTCCTAGATTGTATCCATCAGATACTGTCAATTCCAGACTGACCAGGAAATACATTTAGAGAACAGTTGAATATAAGTCATGAAAAAGAAAATACTGAAAATAACAAAGAATTAAATGTTTAAATAAAGCATCAATGACACACACACATTTAAGAATTTCTCTTGTACCTGAAAGACAAAGAAAATAATACGACACAAAATAACCAGCTGGATTAAATGTCCCTGTAATTCTCTCTGGAAGTCCAAAGGTATTTCTTATGTATGAAGAAAGAAGAAAATCAAACAGTTTCATTTTCTAAAATTGTCCCAATTTCAACTATGACACTGCTTCATTATAAAGTTACGTTTATTTAATTCTTTGCCATAAGGTTTTAAATCACTTTATACATATCAAACAAGAAGTACAATAAATTATATAAATATGTAAGTGTGTACTTCTCATCAGTAATTTTCATAATCCTAGTCATGAAGATAAGCATGACTTTGCCTTTTTGATAATCAGAGAGTTTGTTTATTATAGGATTACTCTTTAGGAATCCAGGGTAACTTTTATATTAAATCAAATGAGCAGTACTTTAATTAAATATTATAAAAACTTTTTTAATGTAAAAGTCAATGTCATGGGCCATGTTGTGTTTCCCACAAAATTCCTGTGTTGAGATCCTAGCCTCTAGTACCCTAGAACGGGATTGTATTTGAAGATATGGTCTTTAAAGATGTAATTAAGTTAAAATGAAGTCAGGAGGGTGGGCTCTAATCCAGTTTGACTGGTCACCCCGTAAAAAGAGGAAATGTGGATACAACACATACAGAGGGAAGACCATGCGAAGACACAGCACTTTATCTTGAACTTCTAGCCTCTGGAAATGTGAGGAAATAAATTCTGTTGTTTAAGCCACCGATCGGTGGTATTTCGTTAAGGCAGTCTTGGCCGAGTAACACAGGCAGTGATGTATTTTCCCAGGTCAGATGTGAGCTGTGTGAGAGGCAGTCTGGAGGCATACTTGTTACACAGGAGGCGTTTAACCAATACTGGCTCCAGAACACTACCACCCATTTACCCTGCGGGAACCCTTGCGGTCCAACAGAACTAAAGATGTGCAGCTGTGAATGGGTTATAACGTCTAAGACATTCACTGGCCTGTGTGTCAAAAGCCTTCGGTGTCCTGACCCGTATTCTCGGCGTCCCTTCTAGCGTCTGACTCTCTGGGGAACAGTTTTATGCGAGCTTCCCCTCTTCTCCCCGATGGCTTCTCTGCGTTTGCCAGGCTGCCTGAAGCCCTTCTGACTTTGCCAGCCCCTGAGCCCAGTGGTAGCTCTCTCAGCTCATGCCATGCACGGCCCGGAAGCGTTGGTGAGTTAACACTCCTGGGTCCGCCTTCAACCAGGTAACAAGAGCCAGTGGATAAAGATTCTTGTCTCACCCCCTTTAGCAAGACAGGTTGGTGAGACTGTTCTCTGTGCTTCTTAAGAGGTCCTGGGGAAATGGAGCTCCGATCGCCTACAGCACCAGCTTCAGTAACACACTTCTGTATCATCTTCTGTATCTTTCTCCTCATCCTCTTCCTGCTTCTAACTAGAATCATCTCCCAAGTGACCTGGCCACACACAAGTAGTTGTCTTAGGTGATGCTTTGGGGGGAAACCAAACTAGGAAGTTTTGTGTAAGAAGAAAGTCTGAGCTGAAGCCTCTCGGGTCTCTGGAATTGTTGCTCACCAGTCAGATGGCTCCTGTGTGCTTGGCATCAGGGCTACTAAGGCACTTCCTCCCTGTCGTGGGTAAAAGATGAATCATTGATCTTCCTGGTCGCTCTGGCATTTAAATGGGAAAGGGGCAGTGGTACTTCTAAGGATGGGGGATTTTATTTTTTAATCATCATGATCAGCCAGCTGTCAATTCAGGGCTCACCATGAGAACTGGTTGTGGACCCCATATCAATATTTAACTGTGGATATGTATGATTAATATTGGAATTGCAGTGCCTGTTAGTATTAAAAATTTAGTATTAAAAATGCATGTTAGTATTTAAAAAAATTTAGCCCAAACATACTGTTGACAAAATATAAAAAGGGACAAAATTGGGTCAGTTGTAGTGATGTGGGTGAAACTAGAGTCTGTCATACAGAGTGAAGTAAGTCAGAAAGAGGAAAGTAAACATTGTATATTAACGCATATATATATATAGAATCTAGAAAAATGGTAGAGATGAACCTATTTGCATGGCAGGAATAGACACGTCGTGGAGAATGGACTTGTGGACACGGGGCAGGGGAGGGAGAGGGTGATGAGGTGAGAGAGGAGCACTGTTGTATAATACTTTGCTGTGTTGTGAAGTCATGTCTGACTCTTTTGCAGTTCTCTGGACTGTAACCCTCCAGGTTCCTCTGTTGACGGGATTTCCCAGACAAGAATACTGGAGTGGGTAGTGATTCCCT